TGTGAGGGAGGGGGTTAGGGAGTGGGTTAGGGAGGGGGTTAGGGAGGGGGTTAGGGAGGGGGTTAGGGAGGGGGTTAGGGAGGGGGTTAGGGAGGGGGTTAGGGAGGGGGTTAGGGAGGGGGTTAGGGAGGGCGTCGAGTTCAGGGGGAGGGGGAAATCTAAGTCTCTTAGGATGTGTGGCGCTCGCCGCCATCTGAAAAATAAAGACCTCTACCTACCTCTTACCTACCTCCACCTCTTATTATAAAGGTAGGTGTAGAGATCCTTCAGTGACATCTCCTCTGGATCCACATCATCAGCATCTTCCGATTCTTCCCTTCAATGTACTGCTGACGGGTTTATCACAGTGGCCTTCCTTTCCCAGCACACAGCGCCCCCTCAGTCGCTTCTTTGACTTCTTTGAACAAGACTCCCCGACACACACACACACACACGCCTCGCCATTCTGATTCCGCTGTCGTACAGTATGTCCGCAGCCACGTCTCGAGGTGCTCGTCCTTATGGTGGGGTTTGACAGCCAGCCAGGCGGCAGGTATGGCGGGACTCGGCATCGGGGCATTACTGGTGGCGACGGCGCCGCCACGGCGGGCGCCGCCACCAGCCCCTGCCGCCACCACCGCCGCCTCCGCCGTCACCGTCACCTGTACGACACGTTACAGAAGAGTGTCCGGTGCCGCCGCCGCCGCTGCCACCGTGACGACAGCAGCGGCGTCAGTGGTTGCGTTTTTCACGAGCCGTCGCCGTCGGTCACCGCCACTAGATAGCATCAGAATCGGCGGCGGCGACCCGGCGATTTCAGTTAGCAATCCAAACGACGAATCGGCGCCGCTGCTGGCTCCTATCCCTCGTACAGTTTCCGCCGCGTCGGCGGTGGCGACGGCGCCGTCAGACCAGCCTCTCCCGGACGACTTGCAGCGTCAGCAGCTGTCAATCGTACTTCGCGCGCCGGCGGCGGTGTTGGCCGTCACGTGTTGTGCGGGTCTAGCCGGTGGCTTGCTGGGTATGGGTGGCGGTATGGTGATGGGCCCTATGATGCTGCACCTGGGACTGCACCCGCAGGTGGGTGGGTAGGGGGGATGAGGTGGATGGGGTGCAGGGGACCTCATATCACAGGGCAGGGGCAGGGGCAGGGGCAGGGGCACAACCCGTTGCACCACACCACCACCACACCACGAGGCTCCAAAGACTCTCCACACCACCCTCTTTCCCTTCCCTTATGCGGGCAGCCCATTGCCCTCCAAAACACATTGGCCACCAACACCCAACACAGCAGAGCCCAGTCGACATATCCACATTGAGAGGCTGTCCTCGTGTCCTCCTCCCTCCCCGGATAGCCCCCACCCTCGCCCCCTCCCTCGTCTCCCGCTGCCCACCCCCTCATTCCCCGGCCGGGGGTGCTACGGTGCCTTCGTCACACCAATCAGGTCACAGCGGCCACCAGCGGAACCATGGTGCTCTTCTCCTCCTCCGCAGCCCTGGCACAATTCGCACTGTTGGGCCGCCTGAACGTTTCGTACGCGGTCGTATTTGGAGCCGCCAGCGCCGCCGCCAGTGCAGTGGGCAGCCAGGTCCTGAGTCGCGCAGTACGGCGCAGCGGCCGCCCCAGCTTGGTGGTACTTGCGCTCGCTGCGGTGATGGCGGCGGGAGCAATTTGTGTGGCGGTGTACGGTCTTTGGGAGGGGATAGAGGAAATCCAAATGCGCAGGCATGGCGGTGGCGGTGGTGATAGTGGTGGTGAGGATATTGGGCCGCGGCCTGGGGGCCTGGCCGCGCTTTGCGGCCGGCAGTAGCTATTGCGCTGTGACAATAGCAGTAGCTGCTGCAGTTTTGAAGTAGTGTACAGCTGTAGCGGGTCTTGTAGAGTGAGGTGTATGGTGGAAGGGAAAATTGAAGTAGCACAGCGGGTGTAGCACAGCGGGATTCCACAGGGTGGCTTTTTGGAAATTGGAGGGCTCGGGGTCTGGGGGCTGGGAGGAGATGATGAGTTCTTAGTCTATTTCGGACAGAACAACAACAGGGCTACAGCGGACCACCCAAGTGTGTGTATGTGTATGTATGTACGGCTTTCTTTTAGCAAAAGATGTACGGATGTCGTTAGTAAGCATTAGTGAATCATGCGTGCACAGCTCACTAGGGCTCACTATTACCAAGGAGGAGAGGATGTCGCCGTACATTGAAGTTAGCTGTGGTTAGCTGTGGGGTCCTTATCGTGCGTGTTGACATGGGCCCTATACCCCCGGAGGAGGAGACGATCCCAGATATGGCGATGTCCTGTGTACCTGTATGTATGTTGATCTGTATGCAGAGATGTATGTATGTATGTATGTGTACGTGTGCGTGTGTGTGTTTGAGGCCGTGTGGGGATGTGTAGTGTGTGTTGTGGGTTCTACCCTCCGTCTTCCCCACCGCCATTGTCAGGGAGCTCGTCATCTGCGGGTGGATGGAAGGCAGTGGGACTTATTCTCCAAACACAGGAATGCAGGAGGAGAACGGTATGATGTTGTGTCTGTGTGGGCAGGTGGGCAGACGGGCAGGGGGGAGAAGCAACCTGAAGCTGTACACGTATGGTGCAGCAGGGCGTCCTGGGTCGACTGCGTGTGTATGTGTATGTGTTTTGTACGGCACTATGATACTACGAGTGTTGCTCGTTCAGCGGCGTGCAGGCATCCACCTGGGGGCAGTGCACACATGTCTGCAGCATGCGGGCAGGAGTGTTAGCAGACCTGGAAGCTCGGGGCTCATGTATAGACATACATACGTGAAAATCTTCTCTTAGACGGCTTCGAAGATCCAATTTCGTTTTTGTAGTAAAAGGATTACAGTCAACAGGTTTTTTAATGCTTGTATAAGTTATTTGGATAGTGTGCCGTGCTTAAAAATCCAAAGGGTTTGTGTAGTCTCCCTCGGACGCTGATTCGTTGGGAAAGTTTCTTTCTGCGAATATAGTGTAACTATAAAATCAGGTTCATTGCACCCGTTACAATAGTTGTATCTGTTTGTAGTTTAATGGAGTTTAACTACATTCTCCCAAGAGTAAGCTAGTACTAGTAGGCTTCCGCCCGAAGAAATAAAAACAGTTAATTGGTTAGGAGGTCGTACTCCGGAAATATCCGGGCTATTGCTCCTTTCGTAGGTGTATAGGTGTTGTTGCTTATTGCTTACACAGCTGAGCTGAGCTCCATAAGGCCTGTGTGCATTACGGAGTGCAACATGAAGAGGGTATTGAGTGTCGTCCTGTTCGTTGATGTCGTAGGGCTGTATGGCGCTGTAAAAAAGAAGTTCGCGTTCAAGCACTTGCCGAGCTCCTGAGAAGTGTAAGAGGGGTTCAGCTCGCTTGGCATCTCCTTGAGTACTCTTTGCCTGGCGATACATTGTTGCGAATTGCTAGGCGGGATCCCCGGATTGCATTCGGTTGCGAACATATCGCACACCAGGCATGATGCAGCATATCCTTACCCCCAAGGTGGATGCCCGGGTGGGCGAGAAGTCCACCAGCTGAGCAAAAACAAAGTCCTCCATTTTGGACGGGGACTGACGAAATGTCACAATAACAAACAAACTTACAATCCTACGGGATTTCAAACAACCTAAAATCCTACGGGATATGCCTGGGGGCGCCCGAGGACGTTCACTCGAGGGGGGGGGAATGTAAGAAGGGTTCAGCTCCCCTGGCATCTCCCTGAGTACTCTTTGCCTGGTGTTACAAGAATTGCCTACGAGGCGCGGCGAGAGGCTATATATGCAGAGGCTGTAGAGATGCATGCACAGGCCGCATTCCCGTCGGAGCAGCTAATGTGCTCAATCATGCAGTGTTTGGTGTGCCTCAAATATCATGAACTGACCTGCAATTGCTGGATACAATTCTGAGTCTCAGCTACCCAAGGAAGGTAACATGCTGTCCTGGTCAACGTGTCCTGTGCCTTAGATCGTGTCCTATTCCCTGTGTATGTATATGTTGTGCTGTTGGGCTTAAAAAGGCATAATTGCCAGAGGTGAGTTTGAGCTGGTGATAGGTTTCCTGTTGATTTTCGCTCACAAGAAGGACGCCACCCAAGAGGAGGAGGCGAGATGACCAGTCAGGTCAGGAGCACAATTCAAAAAGTGCGAGCCCTCTCACAGACCAGGTGGTGGATACCACCCTGGGAACCCGGAGCCTTCATTCTATAATCGATTCACAATCATTTCATCCCTTCATTTTGACCCTTCATTCCACAACCCATATCGAGGACACCCTATCATTTTGGAATGAAGACCTCTTTATTACAGAATGGAGGGAGTTCAGAATGAAGATCCCCTACGGTTTGAACGCCCCTTCATTCCAAAACGAAGCAGTCTCCATAAAATGAACCATGCCCATCACGTGATATGAAGGCCCCTTCATTCCAACAGCCAGCCAGGCTTGCAAACAGATGCGGTGTGCATTTGTACTCGTTTTGCCGAACGTAGCTCCAAAACACTATGCATCATCATGCTAAGTCATGTTCTCACTAAAAACAATGCTGCAATATCAGAAGGCTTCTATAAAGGAATCCGTGAATTATGACCACTTCAGCCAAACTCCTTCGATCTGTCCTGAAGGCCCCTCAGCCCTTCATTTTAGGATGAGCTCAGAATGAAAGAAAATTCACGTTGGGAGAATGCATACAGTCATAAGTAATTAAAACAAATCATGGCATGGCGATATTAGACGGCTTTTGCAAAGTGACCATTTCAGCCGAACTCCTTCGATATGTTCTGAAGGCCCCTCAGCCCTTCATTCCGAAATGAGCACGAAATGAGCACGAAACGAAGGCCAAATGAAGGGAATCCCGGGAATCGAAGGGAAGCCGGTTCCCAGAGTGTATACACTTGATGCTTCTGCACGACAAAAATATTAACCACCAGCCACACCCCGCACCACCTTCCCCTATCATCCTCCCTCCCTCCGTCCCATTCCTCTCCAACCCCATGTTACAGAGTGTGCGTGCATGTGTATGATGTGTGAAACAGGGGGGTGTATCTTTGCCCGTGGCAGCTACACTGCGAAACCCTGCCTTCCCCGGTATTTCAGGGCACCCTCATCCAGTCACCCTAGTCAACTTCTCAGTGCATCGCTAAGGAACCGCACCCACCAACAGCATCCAACGGAATTTGCCAGGTCAACAGCGGCCCAACTCCATTCCTGGTCGGATCGCAGATTATCTTTATCCCAGGTCACAACCGTCCAACAACTGGGGGCGCAATGCCTTCCATCATTGGAAGGACTTTGCCCCTAAAGGGTATTGATCCCGGGATCTCCCGGGGGCAATGGTCGCACCTTACCAGTAGTGCCAAACCCTATATGTGTATGTATGTGTGTGTGTCTCAGTGGTACATATAGTCGTTCCCTCCCGGCACTGCCGTCCAGCTTTTGAATACGTGGACATCCGTACACAGCTTCCTCATGGCCTCTGTCACAAGGTTGGCCACCAGCAGCCCGTGCACCTCTAATCCCAACAGTGAGGGGCGGGGCGGGGTGGAAGGGGAGGGGGGTGGGGATGTTGCTACACCTCCTCACACCCTTGCTGGCCTATTACTTCCCCAGGATGCAGTCCATCCATTTGGCTGCTGGCCCTCCATCTCATCCTCCCCTGCTATCTCCCCCCCACACCTCCCACCTCACCCTTCCTTGCTCTAGCCTCATCCACCAGCCCTTGCCGTACTCATCTCCACATCTGTGCTCGCGGCCGCTGCTGCTGGCCCGGCATGATTGCCCTCATCAACAGCTGCCTCTGTGGTGGTAGGGATGGCAGCCATTTCCTCTATGACCTCCTGAGCTGCTTCCTGCAGACTCGGCACATCACTTGCAGATGCCTGCATATCCAAGAAAGCCCAAAGAATGGGAAAGAAGGGAATGAGGGAGAATCCATCCTTAGGCAGGGAGGATACAGGGTGGAGGAAAAGGAGATATCGATATCAGGCAACAAATAAGCAACAGCTCCCATAGCAGCTCTAAAACTGACCTTTGAAATCACCGTGGCCATATGTGCCAGCAGCTTACGTAGCTGTGCATTCTCAGCATTTTTCTGCTTGATCGCTGCCTTGCACCGCTGGTCAAGGTCGTGGAGGAAGGCTTGGAGGCTCAGCCGTGGTACAAGGCAGAGAAAGCAGAGGCTGAGCGGTGGTACAACACAGAGAAACCAGAAGCTGAGTAGTGGTACAAGGCTGAGAACGCAGAGGCTGACCAGTGGTACAAGGCAGAAACAGCAGAGGCTGACCAGTGGTACAAGGCAGAAACAGCAGAGCCATCCCTGCACACCTGCTGTGCCAACCTACGACAAAAACCAGAAAGCAAGTATCATAAATAATTAACAACCTCTTCTTGTTGTAAGAATTGCAGGATTGAGACCTGCCTGCTGGTTTCTGCTGCATGGTCCAGCGGTCCTGCTACTCGAGGGTCCCATGAGACCACCGCCTCCACCAGATATCTTTGCAGGTGCACCACTGAAAAACATACGAAAAACATGTGAAAGACCTATTGTTTGACAAGAAAACAACATGATATGCTTAAGTTACATGCATGTGCGGGTCCCGCACTATTCACGGATGACCGGCCCTATTTGCCTTTTATTGCCACTTACTAGCAGGAGGCGATTTCCTTGATGGTGTAGTATTTTGGAAATCTGCTAGCATGGCTTGGAAGGTTTATAATTCTAATATATTATTGTGAAATTGCAGTGCATTCGGGCCTGTAGGCGGGCCGTATTCTTGCAGTTCTATGACGCGGCCTTTGGTCAAAATAGGGCCGGTCATCCGTGAACAGCTCCCGGAGTTAATGAAGGGAAAGCATTTCGTAAGCCACTTACAAAGCTCCCAGTGAAGATGAAATACCAGTAGTCAAAATGGACGAAATCGGTGAAAGAGCCGTTGAAGGCTCTGAAGGTGTGTTTAGATATGATATTCTACGCCTCAACCGACTATGGGAGGACTTTTTCCTCCTGTAATATGTTGTATTATAAGAAGTTGTTAATTCTAAATCTGCTACACATACAGGGTATAGCTCGGGAATCGTCGACAGGTTGCTGATGAGCAATGACTGAGGCTGGTATTTGGGCATTGTATATCAGCAAAAAACAGCATGACATCACAGCCACCATGCGTTCCAAACGGAAAGTTTATAAATGCGGACATAAACCCTTGGTACGCCAAATGTCGTACCATGCTTCTGCCATGAGCGTTTTGTGACGGTTCCTCGGTTCCCTTGGTCTTTCATGTTGGTGGGAGATGTTAAGTTGTAAACTGAAAGTTTTTTGAGTAAAACGAAAGAAAACCAAGGTTTCTGTGCATTTGCCGAGAGCGTACTCGGCGGTTCGATACAAGCCGTTTAAGCCTATAGCCGTTCTGTGCCCATACAAATTATCAAAAGCATAAGCTGGGAAATGTCTTACCTAAACGTACTTAAAACATCCTAAGGGGGTGTTTCCACTTGGATTAAAAGTCGCGGATTAAGGCTTAATCCGTCGCATATGGAAACATCGCGCGGATTAGGACGGATTAGGCGGATTAAGGTTGGCGCGATTCGTTAGAGATTTCCGCCCGTATTCACGCGCTTCGTGGATTGATTATAGATTAATATGCTATGAAATGCGAGCATTCTTCCTATACTAAAAGCTCTAACTTGGTGGGAAAAATTTGCTACCTGGTGGCCACCAGGTATCAAATTGACAATCTCGGATTAACACTTTTCACGACGCCTCATAAAAAGCCTGATTTTTAGGTTGGAAGGTTATCCTTTATAAAGGCT